GTTTCGATGAAATGAACGGAAAGGAATGTTCTTTTGTCTACTTTTGATCTAGGTTATAAGCGATATCTCCTGTAAGCGTACCTTTGAAATCCAAGCGAAAATGGGGGCTCATTGGCCTCCCGGGTCTAAAAACCGTTATTGAGGTAATATCTTCATCCTCTCGGTCAGAAAAGTCGTTTTCTGATGCCCTTTCACATTACCATCTTCCGAAGGAGCTTTAATGGCTCCTTTGTCGCTGCCGAGCCCGACTGGCTGATCTCAAGTGTTAAAATCGTTCCCTAGTCCCGCCAACAAGTCCACTTTGATGGATTCTTCTTTTTTTGTGTAGACGGCCGGTGGTAAAGCCCTTGCCTTTTCCTTGTTAGTTTCCTCCCGAACTGTCCTTTGCCTCAACAGACGATACTTCTCCACAAATTCTTTCATAGTACTTTCAAACTCGGGGTTGATCCCTTTTGAAGGTAGAGGTCGCATAAGGTTGACATTTGCAAACTCCGTGCCAGTGTGAGGGACAGGATAGTAGGATTTTTCATGAGTAAAATATTTGGCTTCCCATTTTGTTACTCTCTTCATTTACTCCTAGATAATTATTCCAAAGTCTTGGGAATACTGCAATGTGGTGAAGGTCTCATACTTAAAAGGGAAACTGCGTGTAGAATCTCTACAATTGTTATGAATAATGTGCACAATTCAGTGTCCTCCAGATAATCGTTGTTTATTGAAGCTATGTTGTTGCACACGCAGGGCATTCCTTCTTCGAGAAGTTTAAGCGAGACTTGAGTTTTGTTAGACACAGTTCCTTCAGGGCCGTTGGTCGCTATGGCTTCCTTTACATTGAGCCGTTCTTTCACATCAGAAACGGTCTTCGTGATGTTGTCATTTACACACGATACTTTGTCTACGGTATCTTGATAAGACGTGTGCTTTCTCTATGCGTTGGGCTCTGATACCAGAACTTTTATAGAGACTTGCTAGGACTTGTAAGAAAGACACAGTATCACTGAGTCCCGATGCTAGTGTAAAGCAACCTGTAGCAACATTCAATGCGGATAGAGTCTTTTCCATAGAAGAGATGCTATGTTTTTTCTCAGAAGGACAGAAGGACTTTACCTTTCGATCCCCTGGGTCAGAGAACGCTATCCCGTCTTCAAATTCACAAAGTCTTTTGATTTCTTCATAAGACTCCGAGTTCTCCTTTAGAAGTTGGTCACTCTAAGCTTCAAGGATTGCAAACGTACAGCCACTGTCAAGATCGACCGCTGCAAAATAAGCTCTTCGTCTGAGAACTTCTACATTCGAAATGCCAGTCAGATAGGTCACGAGTTTGACCCTGGCACCAACAATGCCAACTCCATTCTAATGTAATGTCACTTGTAAAATTCCCCTCTGGGCAACGTCTGCACACAACAGAAAGTTTTCACTTGCATCACAGATTGAAGTTGGCTTTTCTAAAGGAGGGCGAAACTGGACAAGCTTCGAGTTTCCGAATACAGCGGCTAAAGTTTGCAAATGGGTGTTCATTCGTTTTCATAGAACGGATACTGTGCCATCAAGCGGTAAAATGAAACAAGCTAGCTGAGACAACAGATCAGCACAATGTTTCAAGTTTACTGGCTTGAAATTGAAAGTTACCTAGCCTTCAAGGTCAATAAAGTGAATCAAATACGATGCACCTTCTGCGATAAAACTAGCACCATCGATAAAACACAAGTTTCTAGCTTCGTTGAATGTTCTTTCGAGCACTTCAACTTCTACAGGTTGGTGCAATGGAACTGTATTACACGAACCTAACGAGAATCTAAATCGTAGCCCAAAGCAAGAATTTTGCTTTACGTTCCACATTTAAGGGCGATTGGTCTTTTGCATAAAGAGGCCTGTACACCTTGATTCGATTTCCAGAAGCGACACTTTCTGGCACCACGGTGTGAACCACAAACGTGACTTCTTCTAAAACATCCAAGACTGTTGGTCTGGTGAGGCACAAGATGGGTTCAACTGCCATGCGATCTTTGTTTCGCACACATTCGAGGGTAAGGCATTTCTTAAGTTTCCTGCGAATATCAAGGCTCCCAGAATCACGAAGGGTGCGTATTAAACGTATTACGTATTACTTCTTGCGCCTTCAAGGCCAATGAATCAGTTGGTCCAGTTGCACTTAAGACTCTTACCGAGGTGAACCACATGTGGTAAGGCAACAGCAATGGACAGTTCTGCAGGCAAGGTCTCATTCTTTGCGCTAGAATTCAGTACTAATAAGGCCTTCTTATTACATTCCTCGCATAAAAAATCCATAGGCATTTTATACGGCGGAGTAGGATTTTTTACTGATATATTTATACGACACCAAATATCAAAATATTTCGATACACACTCTTTAATTCGTTTCCTGTTCCAGCCAGCATGGTCAGAAGCTCCGGATTCCATTGCTTGTTTGTATTCCAGGCAAAATTGTCACTATCTCCTCCTAGTTTCGGAGCAATGTGATAAAGTTTCACATAAAAATCTCCCAGGCCATATTTACTAAACAAAATCTCCTTTGACCAAGGAACGAAACAAGGTGCTTTTTCAGCACCAGTACGGTGTTAACATCATTAATAGGAATGCAGCTTCTGTGACGTTCAAATGCCGTTTCCGAATCGATTCGACAGAGGCTTACAACAGCTTTTGAAATACCAGTATTGAAGGCCATGGCGTACGTTGATGATTAAGTTGGGTAGCAAAGACAATACAACCGACATATGACATATGACCGTGATAGGGATGGTCCATGCGGGAATTATTAACAGAAATATGACACTCTGGCCTACTCCTACTAATATGTAATAAAAACGTACTTCTATTGGACAAAATAAATCAACTGTCCTTATTTTACATCCAGTTTTTAGGATATCTGGGGAGATCCGCTCTTTTGTAAGCTGTCAGTAAAATCCCACCACAAATGTCATTTGTCAGCTAGATTTTCAGCGATTTGTCAGTTGTCAGTTAACCCCATCCAAGAAGAATTTTGGATTCAGACATAACGATTATCGGTTGAAAATTAAATTTGTTTAAATAGAACTTGCCAATCACTCCCGAACCAGCCAATCAGCGCGCGCTAAGAGCACTATTGAATCAGGTATCAGCTATATATGAACAACAGGGAGAGGATGGCTGATGACTCGAAAAGTAATCATGCGACGAACACTACCGAGACGTTTTTTTTTTTGCTCTAGAGCAAGCTTCAGACGGTTGCCTGTGTGGAAGATCTTCCACCTTAATTCCAAAGGAAATATTTCTTGTAACAATAAACGAAGAAAGTCACATGAAGGAAAACCATGACTTCTTAAACTGAATTCATGTTGTAACTCTTTGATGTCATTATACGGCCGTAAAACCATTTCGTGACTGACTTCATTTGTTTAGTCATGATGGCTGGATATTGGCTGCATTTTTATCACGTACTTTTTCCTGGAGTCAAAGACGTTAAGACTGCTACACCGGAAGATTTTAACCTCTTAATTACAGTAATAAATAGCGCAGAGGTAATATTATATATAAAAAAAAATACCAAGGGTTTTACCTGGTTTGTTTCGATTTTTGGACTTACTTCAATCCTTTCTACTCTGTCCGTTTTAGAATGTCCAAACTATCAAAGTCTGACTGGGTCAGACAGAAAGATAACGTATGGCAATCAAAACACGGTTTGTGACAGGGGAATTAATGGTTGGTATCGTTTTGAAGGAGCAGCAGGTACAAGAATGCCCACCTCATGTCCACCGATACGGCGATGTAACACTCATGCATCCGGTTGGCTAAATGGTGCTCACCCCACAGTGGCTGATGGTCAGGTCACCAGGACAGTTTGCTTCCACTGGGCGTCAAACTGCTGCAACTGGTCAAGATCCGTCAAAGTGATAAACTGCAGCGATTACTATGTTTACTACATAACTGGCACACCCACATGTTCCCTCCGCTACTGCAG